GAAAATGTAACTACTTACAATGGTTTTTTTGATTTCTGTATCTTCACAAGAGATATCTTTATAGGGCAACAAAAATCATGTATTGCTTCAAGGGTGTTAGCTTACTGTAAATATAGCAAACAACTTGGGTTGGGTTTGCCCAAGCCTAGTAGAAGTGGCAGTTTGAGTTATATGCTACTTTGAAGACACCACAGAATTTAAGCAGACTATCACTGAGTAAAGCAGAAAAGAGGTCAATATTCAATTTAAGTAGGATTAAGTACACTAGAAAAGCTGTCTTTGGATAAATAATTTCCCATCCTATAAGGAGGCAAACAATACCAGTGTAGACAAGCTTCCTCTTAAGCTCTGGTCTTATGTTCAGTCATCTTTCTGAAGTGTAGCCTCAAGTTGCTTTGGCCTTGTTTTTTTTTTTTTTTTTTTAAATTTTATTTTTATTTTGTTGTGTGGTTTGCATCTTCTATGGTAGAACACCCATTAGTGTAATAGTAGCCTTGCTAAATGCGTATGGAATTGTGTAGAACCTCTGGACTGTACAATAAAGTGAAGAAACAGGGCTATTAAATGGGCTGGGGAGGAGATTTCCATTGAGAACATTATTTCTGCTTTGGCTTTCAAAATAACATGGATTACTGGAGTGGGAGTATATGTTTAAAGGTAAAGCTGTAGCATGCAGAAGACAGGAAAAATCAGAAAGCAGCAGAGAGAAAGCAGAAGAGAGAGATAAGAGTATATAACAGCAGCAAAGAACAAGTGAGTGACTTTTCCATTTCAATTTTTATCCCTTTGTTCTTTTATTTTGACTCTTATGCTCTTCTTGTTTGCTAATTGTCATGAAATTTATAGTATTAGAAGTAAATTAAAAAAAAGCCCAAACAACAAACCAACCCCACACAAAACCCCCAAACAAACCCTAGGCTTTTAGTATATTGTATGCAAGATTAGTCTAGAGCCACAGGAACTGTCCTGAGCTACAAATATTGAACTTGCATTGATTCTTTTCTTTGTTTCCCTTTTTTAACCTTTTCTGGTAAAACATATCAGTTAAAAGTTGGAAGTTTCTTTCTGCTCACTCAGGTAACTAATAATATAGCTGATTTTCAAAACTGTCCTGGAAATCCAGTTAATTGTGACTGATTCTTAATGGCCTACATAGGAGGAAAAAAATGCAGGAGGAATCTTAATCTGGTGTTTTCTCATACTGGACTTGCGCTGTAGAGTTGGGGTGAAACGTGTGTGTGTGTATATATATATGTATACAGAGTGACTAGTGCTTTTGAAGAACAGGGTTGACAGCAAAGTCATGCAAAGCAGAATGGATTTAAAGTATAGTATTTGCTATAGGTAGAGCTGCTAGTGCTACCTGTACTTAAGGTTGCATGACCCTTTCCATTTTAAGGCTTAACTCTTAGTTACTTTTATAACTTTTGCCAAAGTTCAGTTCAGACAGATTTTTCCATGCCAGATGTCTGCTTTGGGTTGATTTCTTTTTTTTTTGAAAGTTCCAGCCAAAGCAGTTCTGTTCCAAGAATAAGGCTAGTGAAAAGTATGCTATTTTGCTTGTGTGAGAATATTCTGGTGTCCTTCTTTGATGCTCCAGTGCCCCCAAGCTCTGAAGCAAGGATTTGAAATTTGGCAATAGTTCAGCCTTTGTGTTGAGGATGTGCCTTTTGCCTCCCTGTAAAAATCCACCCAAATTTCCAGACCGGTTTACAAGGCTTTGAAAGATTGCCATTTGCATGGGCTTAATAGGAATTTCTTAAAACTTCACAGTAAGTTTCCTTTAGATTCTGTTCACACTGGGAATGCTCCAGGCAGAGTAGAGCTGCATATTTCATCCCACTTCTGCTAGGAATTGTAACGGCTGGATCTGGGTGCTGACATTGAACTAAAAGTGGGCAGTACTTTGTCTTATACCACCACTGCCTATTCCCATGTCCTATTCCTTCTCCCTGGTGAAGGACCTGGGCCCTCTGGAAAAAGAAACTGTCTCACTCATCTGAAAGAGCATGACAGATGTGGAGGAGAATAATTTAGGAGTATGTGTGTGTGTCTGGTTTGTACCATTCCTTTGGTCACAGAAAATGTGTGTCATACTGGCAAAATATTACTTCCTTTTCTAGTGGATGTTCAGATAATAATTGTTAGGTTTTGTTGTATTTAGACTTCAGTAGTTGAGTGGGTCTCAAGGTTTTAATCATTTTACTGAGCTATGTAGGCATCAATTTAAAGTTACTCAAAAAAGCTCACAGTACAGTAATGTTATTTAGAAGGAAAATATCAAGTTTTTTTAAACATTTAAGTCTAACTCAGACCTCTTGCACTTGATACATTGTAGTACAGTCTCCAACTTCATCACAAGTGTTGCATGCTTTGTCCAAGAAGCAGTTATTTGATTGGAAAGAGGTCTATTCTGAGGATGAGTCCAGGTTTTGTACAATAAAGGATGTGTATTCCTCTGTTACAGAAGTTGGAACATGTGGAGTAAGTGAAGCAGAGATTTCAGGAATAAAAAAAGGCTTTGTGGCTAAGACAATTGAATGTTGCTTGATGAATTGCGTGCAATCTGTGCTTAGTTGTGGTGGTTTTACATGTTGCACTCAAATAATTGTTTGTAGGTGGCTGCTCACACTGTGTGTTCTAGTGGCTGGTTTGAGAGCTCTTATCAACTTGCAGAAGTGCAGACCCTTAAAATTGCAAGTGAACTTGGTAGGAGCTAAACCTTATGTAAAATACTGTATGTTAATAAAGACAATAAAAATTGGGTTCAAAGTATGTGAAATCTGACATCTGGAACTAGGGAATATTTTAATCTAATTAACCTAATGCCTTGATTGCCTGTTTTACAGATGTAGAAATTACTTGTCCCATTTCTATAGAAAGGCTTGTGAAGAAATTGGTTGCCTTTGTAGCAGGACTGAAAAATAACATGCTATAAATAAAGCATATGACGATGTGCCATTGATCAGGGATGAAACAAAGCATTGATAAATATGTAATCAAAAGTTTATTTATGTAATAAGATACAAGTATCTTATTACATTAGTAAAATTACCTTTGCAACTCTTAACTTTCCAATGCTTACCTTTATGACCCTAATAAGGCTCTTAATGATGTGATTTTTTCTCTGTGAATTTAATAAGCATACAACTTCCTTTTGTACAAATAGTCCAATTTTGCCAATCCCTTGGTAGCTCTCTTGGTTCTGGAGGTGGAGTCATCATTTCAGTCTTTGCCATTTCTTTCCCAATAAAGCATGCAAACCTGAACTATGTTGGAACTGTCTGAAACCAGTGATGTCAATCTATAGAAAGTGGTATATTTTTTGTATATGCAAGTTTAATTAGCAATAGCCTTTTAATTCTCTTCTAAATCATAGCCACTTTACCTTCGTACTAGTTGAATAAAAGATTACTGGGATCCTCATCCTTTCTGTTCACTGTGGAGATGGAAAGTATACTTGCTCAAACCGTTGACTAATACCTCAGCATGATAAACTTCCCCTTTGTAAAGCCACTTCAACAGTACATATTTTTTTTCACTTTGTAAAGCCAGCTGTTACCTGAAGTTTCCTAGGCAAAAAAAGATTTTGTAAGTTTTTTGAAAGGGACAGGGTTACAAGAAATAAGTGAATGTGTGTTTGGAAGTGTCTAGCTCCCAAAGTGAAAAGATTTGCTGCTAAGGTTTAAGGAATTTAATGCTTTGGAAATTATCTGTTGGAGAGCCTGCAGCAGTGGAGAGTTTTGGGTTGTGGGGTTTTTTTTCTTTCTTTAAGGTGGAGGTGTGAGAGGTTTTTTTGTCTCTCTAAACTTATAGTTATCGACCTTTTTTTAACTTGTTTCTTGGGTCATTCCCTCAGGGTGTTTTGCTGCCTCTAAAACAGCAGATCTCAGATGGGTCTTTTGAAAGCTTCAGCAAAGGCAAGGCATTTGACAGGATGCTTGTCATGCAGTATTTTCAGGAGAAAGACGGGAGTTTTAAGCTGCTCAAAGCATAGATCTTCCTTAGAGGAACTCAGCTGCTAAGAACAGCTTTCTTATTTGCTTAGTTGTGTGAAATTCACTTGCTTGTGGACAACTGTTTTGGGTTTTGTTCCCCACCCCCCCACCCTGACTTCCGCGCTCTTCCATATGTGTGTTGAGCTGTGCTCTGAAGTTGGGCAACTAGCTTTAAACAAAAGCTGTTACCACACTTCTGCATAGCATCTAGCTTGATTTCAGCATGCTGATGTGTCAGTGATGTGGTTTAGAGTTAATGAAATGCAATTCTTTGCTTGCTTTGACATTGGTTTCTGTAGGATTAAAATTAAAAAAGGAAAAAAAAAAATCATATTACACTTGGCTTGTTGTATAAAAGCCAAGTCCAAATGGACCTTAGAATGTGATTAAATGGCTGTGCAGCAATTAATAATTGGCCAGGCATTTGTCCACATAGGTGAGATGAAGTCTGTGAGTTATCCTGTATTTTTTTCCTCTGTCACCTTCCTTTTCCTCTTCCCCAGGCCCCCTAATAATCTAAGGAATTTCTGAAAACCAGACTTTGTGTGGATTTAGTTTCCTATATAAGTCATTCTAGCATATTTTAGTTCAGAGTACCTAGATAAAACAATTTCACTTTAAGATGTATATTTTCTGTCATATTTTCTGAAGCAGTGTGCTTCAGTAACAAGATCCAAATAGTACTGCTTTGACTTTCTTTGATTTCTACTCAAGTCTATATTTTTTTAATGTTGATCTTTATTTGAAGGTTAAGGCACAAAATGAAGGGTAGGTTCTGAAAAGCAAAAGCAAACACAACTGTAGTCAACCAAATTAATTTGTATCCAATTACATGAGCAGTAAATTAGCTATGAGCAACTGTACTATTTCAGATTCATTTGAAAAAGTAACTAAAATCTGATTTGCAAGACTCTGCTCTATTAAACAGGTTTATGTGATCATTTATATTAAGTATGTTAACTGTTTCTGAATGTTTTGCTTTTTTTGTCTTGTTTTTGGCAGCAACTTGAATTAGTGGAACCAAGCGGCTGGATTCATGTTCCTTTAACAGATACTCATAAGAAGCCTATTCGCACGTTTATGATTCAGATTGCTGTTCTAGCTAATCACCAAAATGGAAGAGACACTCACATGAGACAAATCAAAGTGTACACCCCAGTGGAAGAGAGCTCTATTGGTAAATTTCCTAGATGTACAACAATAGATTTCATGATGTATCGTTCAATAAGATAAAATTTCCTACTGAGAAATAATAAAGGCATTTTTTTGATGGCAGTATCGTTGCTTAAGTACTTAAATGTACTTAAATACTTAAAGAGCAGGGTTTACTTCAGTGTAATTATATCTTTATGTTTATACTTTGTACGATTTTGAAATAAAGATAATCTTGTGTTACAGTATATTGTAGTCTGTAATTTTGCATTACTTTTGCTTGGAGTTTGAGTGCCCTTGTACTATCTGAGAGGAAAAAAACCTGGGCACTTTAAAAGAATGTATTTGTGACCAAGAATCAATAATTGATTTGATATAATACAGTTCTTTGGGGGGTGTGATTTTTTCCCCTAATGATTATGTATTGAAATAGTTTGTTCTATAGTGTTACTGTTGAGTCTTTTACCTAAAAGTTGCTCTTTTTAAAGAGCATTCTTCTTGAACAGACAAGTTTTAAAGACATTACCAGTAGTGTTTTCTCATCATTGCTTATGTTAATGTGTTGCACCCTTTTCTGTATAGGTTTTTTCTCCCTCTGCTTAATGACTGTCTGCATGGATTTAGCCTTCTTTGTAACTGTCAAGTAGATCATAGAATCATAGAATATCTCAAGTTAGAGGGGACCCAAAAGGATCATAGAGTCCACATCCTTGCTCCTTGCAGGACTACCTAAAATTAACCATATGACTAAGAGCATTGGCCAGATGCTCCATGAACTCTTGACAGGCTTGATGCTGTGACCTCTTCCCGGGGGAGCCTGTTCCAGTGACCAATAATGCAACGAAGATGACAGTGGCATGAAGAAAACTGAACCTTTCCAAATTACTCAATATAGTATATACATTAATATAGATATACTGAGTTTAGGTCATCTAATGTGATAGCTGTTCAAAACAGGAGAGTTAGGAATGCTCCAACATCCTACAATAACAGTAGGAATGAATCTGAAGGTCCAATGCACCTTCTAAAGTACTGAGAACTCAAGTGTGTAACACAAGGTGATCTCAGAGTCATAGCATGGAGTTTCTTTAATGTGTTTTGAAGTAAAGAACATTGCAAGGAAAATGTATGCTTTGTCTACTTGCTATGGGTAGGAATATATAACACCTCTACTAATGTCTAGTAATCTAATTACTAGTTATTTCACCTTTTAAAAAAATTAAGTAGATTTTAGAAAGAGAGGCTGTTGAAGTGTTTCTTTTAAAATGTTCAGTACTGATCAAAGCCGTTCTTCCTCCTAGCACTGTAAAAGTTGATGTTAAATCCAGACTAATCTCAGCCAAGGAAAACTTCTGACACTCTTAATAGTGAGCAAGGAAAGGCTAATAGTAGTGGAGGCTCATCAAACAATGACACAGCATCCTCCAGAGGAGAAAGAAGGTGAAATAGAGGAAGATGGGAAGGTTGTCAAAGAAGGATAAAGATTCAGCTGTGGAAATCCTTTATATACTTAATGAAGCTAGCTGTTGTTTGCTGAACAGTTTTGTCCTCTGGCTGAATTCTGTAGCCTTTAGGAGGGTAATTAAAATGGGCATTTCCTGATAATGAACCTTGTAGAGAAGTCCATGACTAGCCAGAGTTCTCTGTTTAAATGTGGATTCAGTCATTTTAGGAGCACCTTAATGGTACTTTACCTTTCCACATAAAGGGTGTATCAACAGCAGAATTCCTGTCCAGCAGAAGCTGGTTGAACTCATGCTTTTCACCAAGTCCATCAGTTCAGTGGATTTTATTATATAGTGTCAAGGAGTTGCACATTCCGATTCACTTATTTGAAGCACAGTTTGTACTTCTGATGTACCACTTCATTTTTTTTTTTTTTTCCTGTTCCTCCCCCCCCCAAAAAAACCCCAAACCAAACAAAAACCAAAAACCCCAATGCACACTTTGGCTGCTGTTTGGAAGGAGACAAGTCCTGGGAATCTGTAGTCTTCAGTGTGTCAGAGTTGTCAGCTTCTCAGTAGAAATGAATACAGTGCTATGTCTCTAAAAAGCATAAAGTCAGCAATTGACCAATTTGCCCTACAAGGTGGTTTTACAAACGTTAACTTCAGGGAGTGCTAAGAAGAGACAAGTTCTCAACTTGTTGCCAGCTTAAAGCATACTGGTTTTTTTTAATGATGAGCAAACAAGACTGCTTCTTCAAAGTGATGAGATAAAAAAATAATCAGATATTCACAAATGCGGCTTGCTAAGAATTACAACTCTGTGCCTAAATGTTAGGGTAGTTATGTGAGTATTTTGGCTTGCTTCTCCAAATCTGAAAGAGTAAGGTGTACTGGTTACAAAGACAACTGATCTTAAATAATTTTGATCCATGGAAAAAAGAGAGCTTTTATAAAACTAAACATTTTACAAGGTGTATGCTCAGAAAATACTTTTTTCCTATTTGTCAAATAGAAACATACAATCTTAGCATTGTTTTTAGCAAGCTGACTGCTAACTGAAGATACTTAAAGTTTAGAATTGATTTCAAGTCAGTGGCATGTTGGATCTAAAGGTTTTAGGAGAAGAGGGTGTATATTTGTATTCAATAATGGCCAATACTTTAGGCTAATAAAGGTTAAATGCTTCCCGAGTAACTTTTAACTGAAACAATGATCCGAGCAGTATGCTATAGGTATGTCCCTGTGTGAAAGATGTTTCAGAGGCTTTGGCTCTTTTCCTGTACCCTAAATCGCAAGACTTTCCCAGCAGACCCATAAATAATTTCCCAATTTGTTTTTACAAACCTTGTCTATGAAGACACATACCTTCTTTACACTGGTACTCTTCTCCAGCTGGAGACTGAGATGATAGTGGATGATTTTGTGTTACTACTGCAGCAGTATCAAAATCAGCTAGTTTATCGAATAGCAACTAATCCAAGAAACTTAACCAAGGGAGTTCAGAGTTGTTTGTTTCTCAAGCATTATAAAACTCTTTAGAGCTATATGCTGAGGGTAATGCTGTCAGGGAAGGGAGAGGTAGCCAGGAGACCACCTTTATTCTGTGATGGCCTATTGTGGCCATACCTTAAAATATTTAATAATTTATAGTCCCCTGAGACTAATGTGAAAAATGAAGGGAACTACAGAGATATTTATAAAAGCTAGTAAGGCATGAACTTTCTCTTTTGTTTAAGAATGAATTATAGAAAAATTCCAAGTTAAGACTCAGAACACTATCTCTAAAGCCTTCTTTGCTTTTTTGAAGATGCACTCTGGTAAGTGGATGAGCACTTAATTTACTTGTTTTCGGTTACAATTGATGGAATAGTGCTCATTAATTTCAACAGAGTAATGGGTTAGGTCCTTTTGCATATTGAATTACAGTTACTTTTAAGTCTTCGGTTTTCAGATTTTTGTTGTAGTCTGACTAGTAGTGTTACTTCATGATAACTTTACCTCAATCTTCTAAATTTTGCATTTTTTACATTTTCTTCACTTGCTAATATTAAAGAAAAAGAGAATTGCAAGTTGCACCCTGGCTGAAAAGTTGGCAGTTTTCTAACTTCAGGCAAGGTATAAAAGTATATCCTGAACTTTTATGTTTAATTGCAGTATCAAAAGCAGAATTATAGGGTAGATGAGAAATGAAAGGTAGGAATCATCTTGTTTTAACTTGTGCAATGTGGATTTATTCCCTGCTCTCCCCCCGCAAGCTGTAGCTGGAGCATTGTCCCTCTCTGTCAAAGCAGGCAGCAGTTTATAATCCTAAATGGACTTAATGGAAAACTAGAGTACCATAAAAAGGGATAAATAACAGACTACTAGTACATTATGTGTGAATTGCTATGATGAGCTGTGTTATATAGCAAATATCACTCCTTGATTACTGGATTGTATTTTCCATACCTTTTGTGTTGTCATCTAAGATGTTATTGCTAAGTAGTCTTTCTCTTCTTCTCTTGTATGAGAAACATCTGATAAATATTGAGTAGTATAAGATTAAGGTAGTATTGAAATAAATGAGACATAAAATGGAAGACGTATTTGTTCTAAGAAATCATGACTTGGCAGTGATCTGAATCATCACTTCAAATAGTAGTAATTTAAGATTTTTAAAACTTTTTTTGGAAGATATCACACTAGGCCTTTCTGCCTCGCAGAACAGAAATTTGATTCCTACCATAAGTGAAAAAGCCTTTCTTTTAATTAAACCTTGGCTTAATTCTCTTTGTAGACACTAAGAAGAGGGACATAACTGAGTGACCAGCATCTTGAGAAACTCCTGTTCAAATGAATGAGAGTAACTGTGTTTTGACTAAGTCATGTCTGTGTGTCTTCTCAGTACTGCAGTGTAAACAAAAAAGGCAGATGGCAGGAGAGGGAGAAAAGAGGTATTTGCTGCTCCTGGTTTCTAAAATGGAGAACAGCAAAACATTTATGTTTTGCTTAAGCTCACATAGGGAGTCTCTGGCAGAGCTGGAAGTTGAAGCCATATCTCCTTTGTCTATCTTCTTTCACTGTGAAGCAGATTTTTCAGATAATGATACTGTTTTAAACACAGAAATTGCATTATCGCAAAATTTGTATGTAATACCATTTAAAATTTAAACTATATTTTGGATTTTACTGTTCTAGTTCAATCTATAGGGGAAATGTGTGCCAACACTGTGTCTGTAGGTGCACAACTAAAGCTCTTCAGTTGCTGCCTTGGTGCTTGCTCTCATCTTCCCAAAAAGGCATAGCATACTGTTTAGTGGAAGAGAGATAAGCTACCTTACATTTCATATGGGATGCTTCACATGGTGTCAATACTAGCTTGCAGTCTGGCTTGAAGATCTGTGTACATGCCATTTTCCATGCTTTGTTTGGTGTAAATGTAGAATACTGGACTTCTATTGATGTAAAAAAAATTCTTTTTTTATAGCTACTCTGTACATTACTTAGACTTCAGATGGCTCTCACCCAGACCCTCAGTTACTTAGACATGTGTGACCTGCTTAAAGCATCACTTGCTATCTAATTCTGTAGTTGCCCTAGTCTTCACAAATAGGCATGCTACTAGGCTGCGGAGTGCTCTGAGCTCTAATTCAAGCTCAAGTTATTGATAACCCAACATGAAGACCGCCAGACTAGGTGTTTACTGTAGAGTTGGCATGTAGGTTGTTTTCTGAGAAT